TATATATATATATATAAATTACTTAAACAAACGTTATTTTTAGTGGATACTCGTATTTGTGTAGCTGATCCATTTATTTATTACACAGTATGTATTTTCGTTGATAAGCTTGAATATTAAAGAAATCTTATTGGTAAATATGTACTTTCGGGAAAGCGCATGTTTTCTAATAAGATTTGAGGACAACAAATTTTGAATTTCTATTAAGTAGAATCCGATAATAATTCTGGATTTTATGTTGCTCTTATGGTGAGAATAGAAATTTATGTAATCATTTTATTGGTTGATTTGCAGCAGATATTTAATTTTAGACTATTGGTGCTGCGGTGTAATATGATGTGTAGGTATGTTAAAGTATTGTTTGTTTCCATTAAATAATTAAATTCTATCGTATATTCGACTTTATTTATTTTGTCTACAACGTCAGATTTTTATAAGGATATATTAAAAGAGAGTCATCAAGATATAACAGAAATATTGTTCAGGCAAAATATTTGGAAAGGACCAGATTCGAGCAATTCTACGAAAATATATTCCATCACCCCCTTTAGAGGCGACCCTACTGAAATCCTTTCTTTTTTTTATAATTTCTTGCTAAAGGTAAAATTGCATTGATTGATGAGAATATTGCAAATTTTTATTATTATTTTAGCTATCGATAGAGGTTTATTTTTTATTGTGTTAGATGCTTTTATAAAATAAAATGTAAGTATTTGTTAACACGTATATTGACAGAAAGAGATTTAATATCTGAACAAGTCATGAATTTGTCAGGCATATTTACCCCCCGTTAATTTTTTGGCCATGTTGCCCTCGTTTTAGCAAGTTATATGTTGAATGTTCCGACGATAGGTATTAACATTTTCATAATAGATTCCGGCAGTTTGTGGGGGTGTGCTACCAATAGCTGAAAGTTTTATCGACGCAAACATCGCTTTTCGTCTGAATTCCTAATCGACATATAAATTTTATATATCAAAACATTTTTGCAGAGAAAGACAAATGACAACTTGCAAAAAGATTTCCCGTGATGCATTTTGTTCTTCAAGACTTCATCGGACTAGGGTTTGTTTACGTTGAAAATCTGTCAACTTTTCACAATTCTTGTAAGAACTTGTGTTATCACAACGTGGTTATTTAATAAAAAAAAAAAAGATGATGGAAACGAAAATAGAAAACAATTAGAATGAAATTGACTAGATTATATACCCAAAGCACATAAAAAACAAAGATATTTAAAATTTAAAATTCTTAGCATTTCTTGTTTGTGTGCATGCGTGTGTCGCATCAACGTAATCAAAACTGAATTCGAAGAAGGGATGAAACGCGTCACCCGAAAACTTTTTCCACTTAGTCATCCATGTTTCCTCCATATATAAATATATCGTGTTTCGATTCCGGATTGAAGCAATTGGATTTCTAGCCAAACTTATGAGCTGTGATACTGTCTGTCTGTGGATGATTATCTATGTGTGAAAATCACCTATAAAATTTTATATACCAAACAATGTTACGAAAATTAATGACAAATTGTGAAAAAAAAATGTAACACATTTCGTCCGAACACATTTAAATTTAAATTTTTTTTAACGAAATAAAATGAAAAGAACTAAATTAAGTTGGCTAGTTTATATACCCAAGAATTAAATGAATTAAATTTAATGTTTATAATTTCAAAAAAATTATGAGTACATTTGAATTTCACATGATTGCCAAACTAATACGCCTTGTGGGTACAGGTGACATTGTACGTTTACTAAAGGTTTCTGACAGTCAATTATGTTCTGGAAACGAGAGACGCATAATGATTGGTTCAGACTTGGCTTTTTTATTATTTATTACGTGACTTCTGCTTGTCAGGTAAAACGGATAATACCTTATGAAATTACGCGCAGTACTAGATTGGCAGCAAGGACCCATTTTACAGTAACGGTAATTTCTATGCTAACCGTTTCTTCAATCTCACTACTCGCTTCTGAGACTCTCTATTGGCTTCTTGGTTCCGTTAACAAAATTTATGAAACAGGAATATTTCGTTACAAAGAAAAGAGTACTGAATGTCTAACAATTCCCTCAGCATGGCTGATGCTAACCCCCAGCAAACTAATGTTTTCCGCTGACATGAAGTGGAAAGAGTGTATTGTATATATTTCTAAGTCTGCAACTAAGAGAGTTGTTTCACTGTGTTGGACTAACTCTATCTTACATGTTTTTAATTCTACCATTCATCTTTGGTTTAAATATGATGCCACATCTGGTCTGGTGCTCATGTTATATACTTAAAGAATCTCGATGAAAATCCAAAGAAGAATCCGCAATATTAAAGTTCCTAAACTGGCATATCAGCTTCACCGCCATAACGTAGCTACCCTGTGTCTTTTCTATAAATACTTTCATAGTAAATGATCTGATGGACTTTATTCTGTGGTAACTAGATTTTTTTAAAAATTTAAGTGCAGCACTAGATTGCCGGCAATGTCGCATCATTTTACACTTGAAATCGCTCCATGTAACCGTAAGTTCTATGTTAACACCTTCTTCTCTCGCACTTCTCGCTTGTGGAACTCTCTTCCGGTTTCTTGCTTCCCAGTCAAACTGGATGTTTCAAAAATTTAAATGCAATATCAATCGTTATATTCTATTTCCTTAATTATTGTTATTTTATTGTCTTCTCTTTTTAATAATATATTTTTCTCATATTCTCTAATGCTAAAAAAAACGTCCGTCTTAGTGTCTTTATTGCCTTGCTTCGTTAAAAACATGATGAAAAAAAATACGGAATTGGAATAAAACGTGCCAGAAAATCGATCATGTACATACATTTGGTCACTTGTCGAAAACATTCCACTTTAATTCCTTTAATGTTCGCTCTGTCGATTTGAAAACAAATTTCCGACAAGTCTTACTCTCAAAGGCTTTTATTCTCGCCACAACAGAAGGACGTAATGGCACACTGAAAATGTACATGACCCAGCTATAAGGTTTCTCATCATAATGCCAACGCGACACCGTTCCGCCATAAGCTCTTTTGTTTCTTACATATAAATGCTAGCATTTGCTAAAACTGGCCTATTCGTACATTGTCCATTCATAGCTTGATTTTACACCCTCCCCACTCAATTAATAATCTTAACATCTAATTTCTTTTCTAACTCAGATTTTATATATATATATATATATTATTAGGAGGATTTGATAATTATATTTAATTAATTCAGTGAGTCTGATAGAAACCTCAACAGAATGCAGAAAGCACTGGACGGCCGTTCCGTCCTATATTTGGGACTCATCAGCAGTGCGACTACTCTCACCAAGCCGCTCACTCTAGAGAATTAGAAGCTGGTTCAAGCAATGATATATATAGATGGAAATTATTAGGAGGAGTAGTCGTGGCTCCAGGGGGCACGGTCCTATGATTAGAGAGAACTCAGTAGAGTTCCACCACGGAATATGTGAGCGAGCGGCGCTATATTGAGTCTGACAGTCTCAATATGGCGCCGCTCGGTGACGAAGACAGTCTCTTCGTCACCGAGGCTCATTAGAACAGTTGGTATGATGTTTGCTTGACAACCTAACTGTCAGGGTTTCAATTCTCGGTAGTGGATGCGCACTGCTGATGAGTCCCAAATATAGGACGAAACGGCCGTCCAGTACTTTCTGCATTCTGCTGAGATTTCTATCAGAGTCAATGAATTAATTAAATATATATATATATATTTCTACTGTTAAAGTATGTCGAGCGTATACATTTTCTTAGGTTCGTTTATTTAAAGTGAAAAATTTGTGAAAATACAGTTAAACCCCGTTTCTCATAAATATAATATAAAACAAAACTTTTAATACCAGTTTATTTTAAATATAAAAAATAAATCCCAAATTAAAATAAAAATTATTTTATTTTTTTTTATTATATAGCTTTAGGTTTGCTTATTTTAATACTTTTCAATAAATACAATTGTTTATATTAAATATAAAATAAAATATTAATCTCCTTTTATTTTAAGCATATAATATCAATCGCCTCAATTTTAAATGTAAACACACACACACACACACACACACACACACAGATATATATATATATATATATATATATATATATATATATATATATATATATATATATATATATGTATATATAAACCGGTAATCCCTGTATGATATATGGACTTTGTCAGCATTGCGTTAGCCAGATATGTTTATTAAAATTCAAATTATATAACGGCCAGTCTCTACCAAATGTGTGTTTGTAAACAGTGACTATTACTGCTAATAATTCAAGACTATTCCCTAAAGCGAATCGAGTTCTCTCAGTCACTGTGTGTTTATCTAAAAATAAATACGCTTAAACTCAACTTCATCCCTGCTATGCGCCAACGGCTTAGGGGTAGAATCTGCGAATGACGCCAATTCAGATCGGTTACCATCCTAGCTAGAGGCAACCGCACATCTGGTCACACTGATGAGTTGTGATACATAGTCTGTCTGTATATGACTATATATATATATATATATATATATATATATATATATATAAATTAGGTGTATTTCGACAGAAAGAATTCTCTTAAAATGTTTTGTTAAATAATAAGGACATATTCTGCCTATCACTTATTTTAATTAAGTTTTTCTAATTTCCGAAAAAGTTGTTTTTGTGTTATCGGTAAATTTACCAAAATGAATATTAACTTTGAATATCCATTCGGAAAAATAATATAAAATAAAAGTTAATATGTGAATTTCGGTAAATTTACCAGTAAAATAAAACATGTTCGGATTATTGAAAGCATTTAATAAAACTTCATAGACAGAACATGTCCAGTTTATTTGACATAACATATTAGAAAATAAGAATTACATGCAGAATTACAATTGCAACCAAAAAGCGAGAGATGAAATATCTGAAGCAAATAATGAGAAAAGAGGGTTTGGAAAGGGGAAGAGAAACAGGGAAACATAGAATAACTGACTTCAGTTTGACTACAAAGAAGAATAAATTTTTACTTAGCGTAAAAAAAAAAAAATGGAGGCGTTTCCATATCCTGAAGTAACGGCAAAGAGAAGGAGTAATTGTAAACAGCGCAGAAAATGAAATACCGAGCCGAGTTCAAATTCCAGTTTAGACAGTTTAATACTAACACCCTTATGAACCCGTTTTTTCACCCATTCCTAATATGGATTAAAATACAGATTAACCTACAATCTATTCTCGGTCTTTTCCAATAGAACCATGATTATGCATATTATACAAATATTAAACAATAAAGGAAATCATGGAGAGCTATTAACCCCGAGCTTGAATTAAGATAAAATAATTTTCCAAAGAGATTAAATAAAATAATTTTGTACGACTACAGAAACGCTACTATGTATAAAACAAATAAGGAGAATATTTTAAATGGTTCAATCTTTCTTATCGAATCGCGAAATGAAACAGCAACTCTTCGAGGTCTGTTTACAGTAAGGAAGGCGTGCTAAAACAGCTGTCTTCTTGGACATACACTGTTCCTACTTTTAATCAAAGACTTTCCTGATGGCAACAGTTCATAGTTTAGTATATATGTCGCTGATTGAGCCATTTATTCTTTTATTCATAGTAAGTCTGGGAGATTCGATAAGGCCACATTGGCAACCGATCTTGAAAATGACCTACGTCCTAATGTTAACTGGGGTATGACATTGCTTTTTTTAATATATCCATCACGAAACTTCTCTCTATTAATCGTCTGAGAGACCCCTTTCTGCCTTCCATCAGTATGGCTGATGCTAGCCTCCAGGAGAGTGACTCGTGGCGGCTTTTCGGGCTAACGTTTTCCACTAATATGAAAAGGAAAGATAATATCGAATCAATTGCTAGGAATGTGAATTCACTGTCATGTGCTACACAATTATTCATGCCAGAATCGAGCTTTCATATCTAAAAGTCTACCATTCTTCCATGTTTAGAATATTGCTGCAACATATGGTCTGATGCTCAAACTATATATTTAGAAATCATTGATAAAAGCCAAAGAATAATTTGTAATGTTATTGGTCCTGACCTTTCATCTCGGTATCAGCCACTTCCCTCCCGCCGTAATGTAATCCCTGAGCCTTTTCTATATATACTTTCACGGTAAATGTTCTTATGATAGATAGATAGATAGATAGATAGATAGATAGATAGATAGATAGATAGATAGATAGATAGGAAAACAGAGAGATGTGAACAGAGATAGATAAAAAAAAAACAGTCATATATGAACATAGATAGATAGATAGATATGAACAGACAGAGACAGATATGAACTGAGATAGATAGATAGGTATTAGATAGATATGAACAGAGATAGATATGAAAAGTCAGAGATAGATAAATAAATGTTGATTGTCATCTTTTGTCCTCTTAATTTGTGTTCTAAATAATGTTTTTCTTTTCGTATATTCTTTCACTCACGGTAATCCCTTGTGTCTTAGGTAAACACACACACACAACACATATATATATATATATATATATATATATATATATATATATATATACAGGTAAACATATATATGGAGAGAGAGAGAGAGAGAGAGAGAGAGAGAGAGAGAGAACTCGGCAAAAGATGATTTCTACCTGAGTCTTGATTAAAAGGAGCTTGTACAGAGAGAGGGCAAATCGTGCCAAAGAACGACTAAGCAAAATCGGCAAAAGGTAGAAATGGTTATTCAATGAAAATTGTGAAAGTGGCATCTCTTCGACTATGCGCTATAATATCAGTTAATAACAGGAATGGCGTTTGAAAATGTTTAGTGCGTTAAACTGAAATATATACGAGCTGTTATCAGCTGGCTCTTGGACAAAAGTCATCTTTTGGCAAATATTGGATGTAGACATGCCAATGATTCAAAATATGAAACTCAAATAATATGAGAAAATAGATAAATACTAAACAAGCAGTGTTAGCTGCGTAAATTGGAAAAGAAACTTTGTGGCTATTATCAGTGGAACACTAAATTAAATGACTACGTTTTTCATAGAATTCAACAGACCTATACTCATAAACTATTTCTACTTTTTTCATCTATGTGTCGTCTCACTTCAGGAAATGCCTGACCATGGCTCTTCAAACATTTTGTGCCTGGTTGCATTTAGAAATGTTCTCCCGCTGTCTGTTTCCTCAACTATTCAAACCTGCTTGTCAGGTAGGTGGCTAACTGTCTACCCTAATCTCTCAGTATACCTTGTGAGTTTTAGATTTTCTAAGCCCTTCTTTCTCATTATGTATCGAAGAAATCTTAGCGACCTCTTCCTGATTTTGAGTATTGCGATTTTCCAAGCGTAGCTTAGATGTGGCACAAGGCCGAAAGTAAGGAGCAATCAGTGAGGATCGAACTCGCTACTCAGTCGTAACTATTCTAGCGAGACAAGCTTGTTAACCACTACACTGCCTCGAGGTGACCTTCCTGATTTACTCATTTTCTTGCCATACTTATATTCATATCATTCACCTCATTCATGTTTACGGACATATGACGTTGATACACCGGTTTCTGTAGATCACCAAAGTTAAGCAACGTCGAGCCTGGTCAGTACTGAGATGATTGACCGCTTTGGAATACCAGGCGCTGTAAGCTAGGATGTGTGGATAATCCCTCGGAATTTTTAATTTGAACAGAGTTCCAATTCCAGTCGGGTCGGTTATATTCACTTACGAGCAAATACGTTTGGGAAAGATATGAATCCACCTCTTCTCCCTCAGCTATGGGTTAATTAGTAAAACTTATATTACTAAATCCTTATTATAATATCCGCCAAAAAATTCTTACAAGCTGAAAAAATATTTTCTGGCTTTAAATAACCTACCAGCGATTGATAAGCAGTAGAAAACGAATGAATCCATCACCTTCGACGTGGTGCAATGGTTAGGTTTGTCTTGCTAGATTAATTACGACTGAGTAGTGAGATTGATCCTCACTGGGTGCCCCTTACTTTCGGCCTTGTGACACATCTCAGTTACATCTTAGAAAATCATTAATGCACTTCGATCTGGTGTAATGATTTGGAATCTTGTCTCACTAGATCAATTACGAGTGAGTTCCATCCCGACTGGTTACCTAACACTTGAGGCCTTCTACCACATCTAAGCTACACTTAGACAATCCTTTTTTGGACACTTCGACCTGATGCAATAATTAGCAATCTAGTCAAGCTAGATCAGTTGCGACTGATTTCTGAATTCGATTCTCACTGGGTGCCCTATAATTTTGGCCTTATTTCGCATTTAAGCTACGCTTAGAAAGACACCATTCAGTTATACTCTACCTTGCGTGAGTCTAGAGCCTTATAGTGGGTGAACATTGGTGATAAATAAAAAGTTTAAAATGAAGAAGACATTGCCGTTTCTAAAATTGGAGAAAATGTAGAGACATTAATACCGATTGTTTATTACTTTATGAAACGCGATCACTACCAGAATCTTTCACCAGACGAGTAGTAGTAGCAGTAATAATAATAATAATAATAATAATAACCGAAGTATAAAGATTTGTAAATCGAAATAGAAAAAATGTTCAAATTGAAAACAAGAATAGTACCCGTCATAGTAGGTGCGCTTGGAATGATAAAAAAAGGAACACAAGAAGACATTGAAAACATTTCACTGGAAATTCCTGCTTAAGCAAAATAAAAAGAAATTGTCTTGATAAGTACAGCCCACAGACTAAGAAGAACGTTGTTCATGTGACGCTGATAATGTTATGGGAGTTAGAGAAACAAACCATGAAATGGAGCTATAACAATACACATCTACCTGCCTTAGGTTTTCCCGCAGACTTGGTAAATTGACTGACCATATCAGAAATCGAATATAATAATAATAATAATAATAATAAACTTAAACATTTAAAAACAAGTGTAAGAATTTATGAGAAGGAAGTAGTCGATAAGAATAACAAAGCGTCCCAAAATCATAGAAAACCAAACAATTTCTTTGTTTTCATATTAACGAAAATTTTCGGTTATGAACTCTGAAGACAGAAAGTGTCAAAGACTTATAAATCTATTGTAGTTTGGAAATTGGTCCAGTTCCAAGTTGCTAGCACTTTTTGGCTTTCAATCGAGACAGAAGTATTAGATTTATTTATTAAGAAAGACCAATCCTAATAAATGTATGTATGTGATGTTGTTTGGGTGAAGTGGTAAGTAAAAACGTTGCAAGTTGTTGGTCGTCACTTTTTTTACCGCTTCGGAAATTGAAGTGTTTTTTGGCCAATTTCCCAATTGTATCTCATTTTAACCTGAGTAGATGGCACGGATTTGAATGATAGTTTTATGAATATGTTTATAACAAACATATTCATGTGATTGCTTTGGTTCAATAAAGTAAAGTGAAACCTTTTATTTCTACCAGAAGAAAACAAGATTCATGTCTGTTTTAACAGTATTTTTTTCACCAAAATGTAACAAATTTATTTAACCCGATTCATTGTCACGGATATGAATGATAGGCTTATGGAGTTATGAAGATATTCATGTGAATGCTTTCGTTCAGTGAAGTAAAGCGAACCCTTTAATTTATATTAATAGAAAACAGAAGATTCGATTCTGATTTGAAAGATTTTAATGGCATTTTATATCGCCAGAATATCTAACATAATTTAAGTATATTAGGTGCTAGAGATTTGAATGATATATTTATGAAGAAGGTTATGATGACATGACTGTTTAATTGCAATTCTTTAGTTTCTGTCAGTAGAAAAAAAAACAGATGCTTGGATTACGGCCACATCACATTGTAACACCGGTTCACGTATGATTACCGAAGTTAAGCAACGTCTTGTCTGATCAGTTCCTTTGATGGTTGATCGCTTTAGAATACCAATGGCTTGGAATCTTTCATCAGAGAGCAAATGCCATTAGGAAAGGTATGAATCTACTTCGTCTCCCCCAATTATAGGTTAATTCATAAGACTTGTATCACTAAACCATTATTATTTCCCAAAAAAAAAAAGAAGTAAAATTGCGTACAAAATA